ACATTAAGTTCTGTAATAATTTTATAATTTTTTGCCACCCCGATGTCCGCTTTACTGTTTGAAACTATAAAAATTAACCGAAATCCGAGTGAATATTACAGTATAATAAAAAAAAATTCAAATTGCGTGAAAGATTACTCCTTAAAATTGTTTGTAATAGATACCCACTGAATTTCATGACACGGAAACCCCTCAATACACATTTATATACATACCTCTAGACATCGACGTACTCCAACACCATCAAAGCAGCAGAGTCTGCGCAAAACTTTGGCTTTTCTCGGAAATAACCCAACGAACTCCTAAACTCTGGTCTCCTGGTTATTTCCCGCGGATTGCTTATCGCCGGCTCTAGAGCTATGAAATTGCCGACCAATTACACTCAATATTTTCAAGCAATTTCATACAATCATATTGATTTTATAAAAAAAAAAAAGAAAACTGTAAGATAAGTAATTATTCAAAGCTTAGTTCCAATTCTTGCTATAAAAACAATAATTACTATCATAAAAAAATAACTTAAATAATTTACTATTATTATTATTACAGGCAATCCTTAGAGGGTATTTTATACATAAAAGGAGTATCAGTAGTAAAGATACCTCGAGTGGTCAGACAAAGTCGTCCTTGCGCTCCTGTTAAATTGCCGCGTGTTTTCCCTCGTGCTTGGAGCTACCAGAGGTTTCTCCGAGGTTCATCCCCGAGCTCGAGGTGGTGTAGTAACCACTTAAACCCTACCGGGAGTAATAATAACAACCAGATCCCGGATAGGAGTACCACCGAGTCCACCACTCCAAGCTCCGTAGATCTTCTGACCGCCGGATATCAAAGCCCCGGATTTTCGGGCAAATTCCAGTTTTTATATCCAAAAGCGGGTCATACCCGTACCCCTGTATGGACACCTGTCCTAGACGGGGCGGGCGGGATCTCCAGGTGAGTCAGTCCTGCTATATATTACTCGACCTCAGCTCAAGTCTGCGCCCCAGCATCTATTGGTACAGCACATAGACAATCTGAATGCTCCACAGCACATATGGCATTTAGTTTGTGCTGGGGTTGCTTAAATGGAATAGGGTAGTCGAATCTAGCTGGTACCAAACCCAAAATCCACCACCACACTGCCACAATCGACCTACAAGCTCAGTATCCTAAATTTAGTTCCTGTTCTCTCTGCCAGTGTATGTTCTCTACGTTGATTTCAAAAGTTTTCCTTTCCTCATACTCAACAAGGTAAAGTTTATCGGATTTTTCTCCTGAAATATAAAGCAAATTTCAATATTTTTAAAATATGATACTTACATATAAATTTAACTTAATAAATATAATAATTATATTATAGGCTCATATGTGATACAATAATAATGAAATTAACAAACATATTTCCGATTCCAGCGTCATTATCAACACCTGGAGTGAAGAGGTGGAATACACATAGGTGAACTTTATCAGCAGGTCTTAGGAAAGTATGAAAGCGCATGAATAAGGCTTACACCCTAGTCTAGCTCTTAGTCCACCGGAATTCACCCCTAAATCTTCAGATCATGTTTTCCTTTTCCCTGTCAGGCCAGACTTGCTGAAACTTCATCCACATTCCAGTAACTTCTAGACTTTATCCGGTAATTAAATGTCCTTGGTTGGTATTATATAAAATATATATACACAGTATCCAGTGGTTTGGGTTGTAGATCATCCTGCTGGGGTTTCTGGTGACGTTGTTTGTTGTTAAAGGTAGAGTGGTTGGCATTTTCGGGTATCAGTGTGATTGGACGCTGGGGACCTCGCAGAAGACCCTCGGCTTCCTATTATACCAGGAGAAGACGAGGGACTGGAGCAAGCTGGTAAATCTACGCAGGGCTGCTCTGGAATCTAGACTTTAGACTTTAGACTTTAGTCTCTAGACGGCTGAAGGTTCACTGAGCACAATAGATTGTATATGTGGATTTTTTTTCTCAATTAGGTCGAAGGTTGTCTGTGGATAAATTATTTTAAAAAGATTCGAGAAAGAGTGAAAAGTAAGAGACTTGAGAAAAGAAGAGTTGATGATAGGAGGGTAGAAGCTGCAAGAGCTTTTCACAAGATATCTTTTTTTTCTACCCCTATTTTTATCTCAACTCTTTATTTTTTTTAAGAGATATCTATTTTTAATTGCGCTCATTAAATATTTATTTTTTTGCAATGTGGAAGTTAAAAAATGAGATTTTTTTATTGAAAGTTAAGAGCAAAATTAAAAGAAGTTTTAGAAGAAATAATTTTTTCACTTGAAGAGACAGAATTTTCTATTAAAAATCAATGAATTAACTGCACAGAAAAAAAACTTAACTTGAATCAAGTAAATAATTTTGAAGAATTTTATCTTCTTGATCTTAGTGAAAAAATTCTTAAACTAAGAAATTTTTCATGACACTGAAGTTAGCAGACGCCTAAAAATTTTTTATTTTTTTTATTAATTAAATTACAACTAAAAAGATATTTTCAAAAAATTGCACTTATATTAGCTTTTAAAGTTTTTTACTTGTGAAATTTTTTTTTAAAATTTTTTAATTGAAATTTTTTCAATAAAAAATTTCTAAAAATTTTGAAATGTCGGCTAATTTAATTTTCATAAATTTTTCTTGGTTTAAATAAATTTTACTTGATTTAAGAATTTTTCGTCTTGATTCAAAATAATAAAACTCTTCAAAATTATTTTCTTGATTCAAGTTAATTTTTTTTTCAGTGTGGAGAATATTGTTTTGTGTGGCAGAAGTATATTAAAGCTTGATTATGAGCAAAATCAAAAGAAGAAATAGAAGTTTTAGAAGAAATAATTTTTTTCACTTGAAGAGACAATTGACTTTTCTATTAAAAATCAATGAATAAACTGGATAATATTGTTTTGTGTGGGAGAGGTATATTAAAGCTTGATTATGCAAAATGGCCAGGAAAATGTAAATCCCGCTGGAGTTATTTCTGGAGCTTATGAGCGCCTAGTCATGAGGGAAATTCATCCTTCGGGCGTTTAATTTTTCCCATTTTCTCGATCCAGCATCCAACCCGCAGTCCACATAAACACCCACTCGAGCGCACACTCCTCTATTTAACAGATATACATATACATTATTTTATTATACATATATATACAGATAAAAGCGATGTGTATACGAAGCTTGCGTATATACGGTTACCGTAGCACTGGGGATTACAGCTGGCACAGCTTCTGTCTGCCTGCTCGCCCGTCCACTGTCTGACATTTTCGATTTGCCAGCAACAAGTTTTCCCGGGTCACATCCAATTTTAGTGGGGGTAAATGAGGGTAGTTGGGAAAATGCCGAGCATGCTTCTCGAAAGTTTGCTTTCCCAATAAAAAGACGCCTCAATTTTCCGTGGAATTTTGCATTTTCATCTGAAAAAAAAAAAATTTATTGTTTAAATAATGGATAAGCTTTACAAAAAGTTTGATATTTATTGAAAATTCGGTCACAATTTATTTCTTCGGATCAATAAAAAATAATTTATCCTTTTTTTTTAGAGTGAAAAATTTGTCGGGTTACTTTTTACTACTTTCAGTAGATTATAGTATATTTAGAGAAACGTCTGGATGATAATATTATTCTAAAGAAGAATTTATATTTAAACGGCATGCACGAAATAATTTAAACCAACCGACATTAAATTTCACGGAAGCACAAAGGCATCACACAGTCATCAGAAAGTAACAGCAGAAGCACCAGAAAGATGTTGCTGATGCCATGAACCAGCCGCAGGATTTATGACCGAGCATATACATAGGTATGTATACTCTCAGACACATATATATAAAGTATACATATAGATGTATGAACACTGAATATAGGGTTGAGTTGCGGGAAGGAAGAACGAGCACGAGGAATTCTTGGAGGGCGGTTTGAAATCGTCAATAACCAGCTGGATGATGAAGAAACGAGTAAACAAGTACCAGAAGAAGAGGACAGCTCTGCCTTGGGATACACGATAGAGCAAAAGATGAAAGACTCTGTGTTCTTGCAGGCCACGGATAGTCTCTCGCTTTTGCTTCTGCTAGTGCTGATTCCCGTGGTCGGGAGGATCAAAGCTACCGCATTCTTTCCAAGAACATTTCCTGATGGACTTGTTCCCACTCTGTTTCTGCACTTTGGGTAAATCAGCCGTCGCTGGAGCGTTGGCTGATCGAGCCTTGGATCTAAAACATTAATGTTTACCAGGTATATATTAGGTATGTAATTTTATAATCAGAGTTTTCAATTTATAGTATTTATTATAGCTTCGATGCATTGTTTTGGGATTTATATCGTTCGTTGAATAGAAGGTGGATGGTAAAAGGGCAGTTAAGGGCGTGTGCTGACGACAAGTAATCGATACCCAATGATATTGAATAAAACCACACCCTGAAAAAGAAAAAAAAAAAAAGTAAAACATGACACACATTTTTGCACTTAGTCCCTTTTTTTGTAATGAATAATTTTCCTGTAAAGTAAAAAGTAAAATGAATGATGCCTGAAATAATGAAGTATGTATTATATCTATTAGGGTGGCGCAAAAAAATCGATTTTTTTAAAAATATAAATCTATTGAAGATTATTATTATTATTTTTATTTATTTATAAGAACTTAAAAACAATTCAATTAAGTTTTAAAAATATAGAACTAGATTAATATTATTTTTATAGGGATTAAAAAAAATATTTTTGGAGAAAGAAGTCAAAAATAAAGTGAGTATTTATTATTTTTTGTCAAATAATATTACCATGTTGAATAAGGTGGCGCAAAAACACCGACTAATTTTTTTTTCAAGTCTCGAGTGAAAAAATGTTAGTTTTTGATGTTTTAAGAGCTCTCTCCAAAGGACAGCTTAAAAAAAAATTTTTAAGAGGTCACTCCAAATTTTTTTTAATTTCAAAAATCTTTCAGGAAGTTATTTTTTTTTGGTCCATAAAATTATGACGTAACAAGAAAAAAAATTTCGATTTTTGAAATTTAAAAAAATTTGGAGCGACCTCTTAAAAATTTTTTTTTAAGCTGTTCTTTGGAGAGAACTCTTAAAACATCAAAAACTGACATTTTTTCACTCGAGACTCAAAAAAAAAAAAAAATAGTCGGTTTTTTTGCGCCACCCTAATATCTATACATATATAAGCAATTAAAGTGCTAATAAATTTAAAAAGTAATTTTAGGTTGAAAAAGTTTTTACGACTAAAGAGCTGGTGGTTGTTTTTCAGCGGTTTTCATCGCATCGAGAAATCTTACCGTCGTATATTGTATTCCTGCAGTAGGAAGTTACGATGAAGCACACGAGTTTCGTTTAATTTCGCAAGACCCTATAAAGGTTATATACCTTATACCTTATACCTTATACCTTATACCTAGTGTAACAACCAAGTCCGGTTGGTGTACTGGCGTTGGAAAATATACGCCCTCGTAAAGCAGAAAGAGTATAAAGGTAAAAGGAGCTGAGAGTTAGTATTGCTAGGGTGAAAGAGAAGTACGCCGTAGAATAAGAGAACTGAAGGGTGTTGCGTTCTATATATCTCTCTACCTATATTTTACACAACTACTAACAGCGGTGATACTGATGCTGGTGTGCAGGAATCGTGAGAGAAAAGTTTGTGAAAAATAAAAAGGTATAGGAATAAGAGAGATAAAAATTCTGAGCCAAAACAAAGGGAAGAGTGATCCAGAAATGGATGACACGAAGGGTGGTGGGTGAAGGAATGAGGGAGAAGATATAATAGAGGAAGAAAATACTGACAATACAATGCACACACGGACACGGATCAGATCCTCAGGCGCTGTTAATACTCGAGGGTGAATTCTCGATTCTCCAAAAAGAACATTTAATTCATTCTGATATTAAGCGATAAATTTGCTAACGCCTTTTTTTATTGATATCAATATAAGCGGGCTTTAACTTCTTGATCAAGTTTAGATTAAAAAAATTTTAAGAACTGTAAAGTTGACGAGTTCTTCCTCAAGAAGAAGCTTTTAAGCTTTGAGTGAGCGAAAGGGGAGGATATGTATCTTTAATCTTTATAATCAAGCTTCGGTTCAAATCCTCACAACCCTTTTTTTTTTTTTTTTTTTTAAAAAAACTTTCTCTCCCCTATATACTGCAATCTACAATAAATATATACCTCGAGTAAGAGTTCTATGTATCATCATTCCTTTTCTTGCGCGCAGACTCTCGAGATATCCCGGGGGATCGTATCTCCTGGAACAATTGTTAGCTACCTTGTACTCGACTCTTCTCTTCTCTTCTCTCTTGGCGTGTTCTTTATATATGTCTTATGCTTTTATATTTTTCTGATATATATTATCTATAGGGATTTTTAAAGTAAAAATTTTTTCACTTCAAACACCATCATTGTCTCCTGAAACAAAAAATACTGATATATACACCAAAATATATACAGAGAGTCAAAAAACCAAAGCTAAAGATTAAAAGTGATAAAGATTACTTACAAATAAGTATATACTATCACAGATGATAAGAGATTTTATCTTGGTGAATAAATCACGAGGTCAGTTGAATTAATGCGAGAAAATTAAAGAAGAAATATATATATAGTTAAAAATACCCAGTTTTAGAATCGCTTGGAAAAGTATAATGGAATAGAAAAGGGATCGTGACTATCCTTGAAATGTCAAAAGGTCGTTCCTGTTTCTGGTGCACGAGCAACCCCTGTAGCAGCGTTCTCTTGAGGGTTGAAGAAGGCGGACGTCGCTTGGCAACGCGAGGGTGAGTGAGGGATAGTGTGTGCTTACTCAAGCTCTCACGTCCTTTCTGCCGAGTTTTCATCCACAATGGATATATCATGCACATACGGATTACTCTAGCCCAGTTTCCTATAACTACTGCTTTATTTCCGACTGCTGTTGTTTCGACATCTTGACTTATTATTCAGATATACCTGTCAATTAAAAATATTTTAATAAACAATAATAAATAAATTAATAATACTGGCAACCTTGCAGTCACTACATATGTGACTGCCGTGACTTTTGAACTATAAATAATTAAAATTTTGCTTTATTAAATAATGAATTTTATTAAATTGCTCTGTACTTTCTTAAATATTGACGTTTTTAAAGATATAAGCTCATCCTGATGTTACACTCATCAAGAGCTTTCATTTGAGTACCCACATGCATTTTGATATATTTTTCATATATATAAATATATATCACATATATATTTAAGAAAAAAGCTCATCCCGATGTTACACTCATCAAGAGCTTTCATTTGAGTACCCATATGCATTTTAATATATTTTTTATATATACGATATATATAATATATATAAATATATGAAAAAATT